TAAAGGAACAGACAGAGAATCAGCACTTTGGAAACAGGGCTGAAACAGAGGGGATTATGGGTAATGCTGCAATGATCTGTTTGGTACGTCGAGGCTAAACACTTCATAGACATGTTTGGTGTACATATGAGAACTATAACATGTTGATGAAAAACAGTACAATAGGGGACCTTTAATATCTGTTGTGTGTTTCAGGTGGGATGTAAAGCCAGCTTGGTGTTTTTCCAGTACTTCATCATGGCTAACTTCTTCTGGCTGCTGGTGGAGGGGCTGTACCTCCACACGCTGCTCGTCGTCATCTTCTCCGAGAACAGACACTTCATCGTCTACATGTTCATCGGCTGGGGTCAGATTCTGTTTCATCTCAGGTTTAGCATCCTGAATTTCTTAATTCCTCATTAGGCTGAGAAAAGGGTGCAATGTGAGAATGTATTAAAACACATTGCAATGCTGAGGAAGAGGAAAATAGTGTGTGTGTGTGTGTGTGTGTGTGTGTGTGAGTGAGTGAGTGAGTGAGTGAGTGAGTGAGTGAGTGAGTGAGTGAGTGAGTGTGTGAGTGAGTGAGTGAGTGAGTGAGTGAGTGAGTGAGTGAGTGAGTGAGTGAGTGAGTGAGTGAGTGAGTGAGTGAGTGAGTGAGTGAGTGAGTGAGTTTTCTGTTACAACCAACTTCTAAGAACTAATTGTGACAGAGGACTGTTGTGTCCCCTCAAATTTCCTGCACAATGGCCTAAAAGCTGCACTTGAACGCACCATAATGACTTTAGCCAACAGCTCAAAATCACGTACCTTTTTTGGCGTTTGAGAGAAATCAACTCTTCATAACAGCTAGCAGCAGTTATCATCATTCAAGGAGGGGAAACCTGAAAAGTTAGCATTAATACACAAATATTAACAAAAATATTTAACAGAACAGCATCTTTTCACTCACCACTTAGCTTAATTAGATAAGATAAGAGGTACTTTATTGATCCCAAGTTAGGAAATGTTTGTGTTACAGCAGCATAAAAACAACAAAACAAGACATTGCACATAAGTAGAAATAAAAGAGTAGAAGTAAACATCTCAAAATAGAATTAGACTTAGACATACTTTATTGCCATTTCAACAAGACACAGAGTGTACTATTAAAACAACATTTCGTTGTACTGGCTTACAGGAACAGGAAAATATAAAAACTTGCTAAAATTGTACATGTAAATAAATACTTTAAAGTGACGTGTTGCTGTGTGCGTTTCAAATATAAAGACTTATAGAAATATACAGTAGACCGTGAAGATAAAAAATCTATAAACACCATTTAAGCTGGATTACGGATAAAACGTGTCAAAAATATCCGTGAATTAAAATAACCAGAAGGGATGAAGATGATGCCTTCTTGTCTTCAGTGGTTTGATTTCTCTCAGCCATGTATATACCCGTTATCATCAGCTCCTTAATGAGACAATAATCAATACTTTTCAGCTTGATAACATGTGTCGATGTCGTGCATATAGAAACACAAAAGAGTGCAGGGAAAGGAAGATCTGAAGTGGGTAGAAAATGGAAATATAATCAATCATGCACTCAGCTGACACAACGAGTGAAGTAATATACATAGGACTTAATGTTGAATAAATGTTAATAATATTTACCCTAATGCGAAAGAAACTTCAGATTTCAAAGTAATAAAAGAAAGAATGAAATAAATGTTATTCTTTCATATCTTAGGCTATTATTTAAACTATCAAACCCACTATGTAGATCATGAATTACCTCCTGATAGATCATTGTTTACCTACATTAAACTGTTGTTTTCCTCGTGCCATTTTTACAGGATTCCCCCTGGTGTTCGTGTTTGCGTGGGTTATGACGAGGATTTATCTGGAGGACACGGGGTGAGTGACGCCAATCAAACTCCTCATCATTAGCATATAAACGTGAATAAGATCAGCTGTGTGTGCACATTACTCTGTCTTTCAATCATATTAGATAGATTAAACATGTATCAAAGGAATCTGAATGCGTATGAATAAATGTCATTGGTTTTGTCAAATGGATATATGAGCATACGTCTCACACAAATTGTTTCCTACTTTATTATGCGATAGGAGACGGGGAATTTAAATGACATTGAAAATTGTCACACTTTATATTCAACAGCCTCTGTCAACACATCACGTTTATTGATTATATTAAGGCCGCAGATATGAATGTGGCTTTGTTTCTCCAGGATAATAAGACAAACTCCCATGTCAGGAAGCCTTCTATTGGATAACTCAGCTGCAGGGATTTGCAGCTGAGTAGTTCTCATTATGAGCCTGAGCCACGGATCACATCCCCATTATTACGGACTGCAGATCACCGTAGAGTGGGAGTTTTCTTAAAAGAGACTGTGAAAAACTCAGCAGCAATAGAGTAGAGGATTGATTCAGCATTTAGAGCCTTCTGTTTCCTCGTTTGGAAGTCAAGGGTTTTTCGGATGTGTTGTTTGTTAGATTCCTAATACAGGGTGTCCGCGGGGTTTTAAAAAGTATTAAAAGTTGATAAATCAATTTAGCGAAAATTAAGGCTATTAAAAAGTATTAAAAAGTATTAAACGGCATTTTCCAAGGTATTAAGAAGGTTCACAGCAACAACAACATGAAACACCCTTTAATTTACTGAAACGACATGTCGGGAAACCCCACAAGGCGGCCCCATGCACTGCCAAGGCACACA